GGGGGGGGGGGGGGGGGGGGGGGGGGGGGGGTTAGCCTTAATATTATCATCAGGTGACGAGGGATTGAAATTAATTTTTGCTTATTGAGAGGGGGGTATGACTTAGTTTTGGGGCATATTTCACCCATTTCCCAGCCCCTCCTCCCCCCTCCAGGTAATTATTGCACAGTCCCTAAAAGGCCATTTGTACGATGGTGTCATTTTACTACTACTAACAGAATCCTTCAGGGTATTGCTTTCTTGTGCAAATGAAGGCTTTTGTTAATTGAACCTCACTAATGTATTCTGGTCTTAGTAGTAAAAAGACGTCATCGTGCAAATGGCCCATTGTTTATTCTACAAAACAATGGGAATTATAGGTAGATAAGAAGTATTCACTTTCGATTTTGGATTCAAAATTTCCAGAGACTTGACCAAAATGGGACGTTTATTTAAGTAATTTTATGTTTTGGATTCACGCATCTGTGTGCGTTTGCAAACGTAGCCTTGAATTATGAAAGCGATTGACGTGCTTTAGTCAATTAACTCAAAAAGGCGACAAAGACTTTTTTTATTACTTAGAGACGTCATTTCATATTCATATCCCTTTGGCGACATTGGGGGGTGGGGGGTGCAGGCGTAGGGGGGGAACAGGGGGATTTGGTGAGTTGTGCGTACCTGTGATAAAATCCTGGCTACGCCCCTGGCCTAGCCCTCGTGCAGACAACTATCATTTTTCAGCAGTGTTTCCTTTGTTATTTTGGATCTTATCCCAAGATCCCCCTTTTGTACGAGAAAGGTATAGTTTTTCAACAAGGACCTTTGTGTGGTAGGTGTTGTGCATGGTACTAATTTTCTGGGTCCTTCCATCTATTAAAACTGTCAATTCTCTATCGTCCACTTCACGATACTTGCCGAGCATCCGACATTAAGGGCTGGAGTTTTATAAAAAATTCTTCGATCCCCAACCTTGACTCACGTGACTGAATTCATTGTCCACCAGTCCTGCGTTGGTGGCACAATTCACGTCGCCTGCGTTGTTTGGGCAGCTATGAATTATTTTTTGGCGCTTGTTTTTGTTTTTTCCCTAGGCTTGTTGATGGTGTGGGCCGAAAATATTCCCCAGAAAGAAGACCGCGTTGGAGAGGGGTCTGCGTTTAAGCCGGGTCATGATCATGATCACTCGTTGAATTACCCTTTTGATTCAATGGAAAACATGAAAAGAGAAACCGGCGCAGGTTGGTACGACTGTTCTACTGCTAAATCTCGGATTCTTGGCCGCTTTGAGATAGTCGATAAGTAAATTTATCACAAATGTTTATCGTCTTGAAGACGGTTCCTTCGCCGCAAATTTCAGTAAGATGCCGACTAGATCTACGGATACTCGAACCCACCCAAAATGCCATGATAAAGCGATTGTTTAAGGGAGGCGTTCGTTTACTAAAGTCGAACCACAGGGGACCTCTTCCGAGAAGAGGTCTATGGCATTTGCTTATTTGAAGATAATTTATTAGGCTATAAGCTTTTTTCATTTACAGTACGTACAGCGCCACATAAAAAAAATCAATTTCTTATGAAACTTTAACAATAACAAGTATTTTATTGTCATAATTGAAAACAATTACAATTGAACCTCCATAAAGCGGCCACCTATAAAGCGGCCACCTTCTCTTAAGCGACCAGTGATCTAAGTCCTGAAATAATATTAGAAAAGAATTGTCATGATTAAACAACTATCATTTGGAAGATGCAATTTGAGCTGAAGTTTGGATTCCAAGGCCCAGGATGCCGGGATTCTACGAGGAAATATTTCCCAGATCTCGGAATCCCGATATCCTAACAAGGGCGAGTCTCTCCTAATAAACTTCGCTATGAATCAAATCTCAGCTGTCCGTTACACCCTGGCAAGGAGAATATGTATATATTAGTTTCACGTTCGATGCGCTTATACTCGAGAGATTTGTTCTTGCTGCGAGATTTTAAAATTCAGTTATATCTTCGAGCTAGGGATTAATTTCCTTTTTTATGTCAAAGACGACCCAGGTTTAGTGATACTAAGTCTACAGTGCGAATACTGTAAAACAGCACAGTGTTTGTATGGGGTGAAATTACGATCCTAAAATTTGTCATTTGTAAGAAATACCAACAAACAACAATGAAACTGAAGCAGTTAGATTGTTGTCCTTATTTCCTACCAGCAGTCTCGTGAAATTACAGTAGAACGACAGTAACTAATAGAAATCCCCGCTAACTCGAACAAAATTTATTTTCCCTTGATCAAAGTTTCACGAAAATTTACTCCGATAACTCGAATTCTGGTTCTTGTGACTTTACTCGGATGCCATCTCATTAGCCCCTCCTGTTGTATAATCGGTAAAATATTAAAACTGAACCAACAGCAATTTGATTGGGGTGTCAGTAAACCGCGGGCTCGGGGTCTATCTTTTTTTAAACAAAATGCTGTTTTAGGGTTTGGGTTAGGATTAGGGTTAGGTTAGTGTTAGGGTTAGTGTCAACCCTAACTCTAACCCTAAAATAGTATTCTTTTAAAAAAGATAGGCCCCCGCCTTGACCCCGCGTTTTACTGACATCCATTTGATTGTAATTGGTAAAACGAACAGATCACGTTTTATCATAAAATGTATAATCATACATGTTACCGTTTTTGATGAAATAAGTTTAATTTGCACGATACTATACACTAAAGGTCACTGAAGTGCTGAAAAAAAATCGGTGATCATCAATTAATTATTGACATAGCAACCACTCTAGACATTCCTCAGTCTAGAAGATGCGTGGGCCGGTTGCAACGCAGGCTATTATTGGAGGGTCTCAATGGGGTGGTGGCTTTTACGGTTATCGGCTAAAATTTTGGCTCTTTTACGGCTATCGGGTAATTTTTTTCAGTTACGGTTAACGAAAAAGTTCAAGATTAACTTCTTTTGTTTCAAAAAGTTAAATATTAAGTCTTCGGATCATCTCGGGATGAAATAAGCTATTCTTTTGAAAAAATGTCAATAGTCAATTTAAAAATAATCTTTGTGAAAAAGCAAAAGCAGACACGCGAACGCCCAACTCAAGGCCGGGGCGCGGCATTCATTATAACAGAAATGGCCGTTTTCACACTAGAGAAGGATTATTCGTGTGAGACGGGTTATCCGTTTGATGATTCGCGTCAGATAGGCGATACATCTTAATTTGGCAATGGAATAGTTTTAATTTTGAATAAACAATCCGCCTGACTTTTGAAGACAGGATTATCCGTTCCAGATAGCCTGTGTACAGCCGCCCCCTCCCCTCAGAAAAAAGTCGGAGAAGGGATGTCTGTGGGGAGGGCGCGACTGTACACAGGCTAGTCTCAGACGGATGATCCATTTCTAGGTCTAGTGTGAAAACGGCCAATAACAAAATTCCCGTGTCCAGTGTTTTTAATGATAGCGAAGGACTGTACGGAACGACTGTCTTGCCGTTGCCTGGTCCGTAGGCCGCATTATTCCGCGCGGCTGATGCCTTTCGGGTCATGTGGTCCGAGCGAGTTCGCCACTGAAATGCCTTGACCGAGATTGCGTGGGAAGACGCCGAACAGGGACTAGGCATGGCGTCGTCTACCGTAGCGTCCGAGAAAAAACAGGGAAATGTTGTTTATCGGCAACGTGTTTTACAAACATTGACATCTCTGCGTGTTGTTTCACTAGTGTTTCGAGGGCACGACCTCCTGAAAATTGCAAATATTAATCCCCAGCAAGAAGCCACACTTTCGTTATGGAAAAAATTAGTTCCCCAAGAAAGCGCCGGAAATGGAGCCTAGGTCTTGGTTAACACCTAAAAGGCGCTTCGCCTAACGTGCGCACGGAGTCACACTAGCCGGGAAATAAAAAACGCAACCATAAGTGAGTTTAGTACCTTCCTTGAAAGTAGCAAGTCTAGGGAACACTTTCTTTTACCGTTAACTCTTTTTTACGCTATTTACGGCTAACGGTTAAATTTTTTTAAATTTTTACGGCTATCGGCTAAATTTTTGGACGTTTCACGCCTATCGGTTAACCCCATTGAGACCCTCTTATTGACATGGCAAATTGAATACCATCAATCCCGATAACCCTCAGTAAATAGAAACGTTTTTCGTTTCCTTTGAGTTCGTTTACAGGGGTTCTCTGGGTTCTACTGTAAATCTGCTCAAATTCTCCTTCCACACAATAAAATAAACAACTGACGGTAATTGTAATTTGAAATAAGACACACCTCATCCGAGTGACTGATAAGTAGCTCATCCGTAATCCCCGGCCCTGCGGGGAGGGGGTAACTGTCATGTATGGTTTATACATTCAATAGGCATGTGCCATCATTAGGCGTATTTCAGGTTTTCAAGGAGTTTAGTTGTTGGCAGTTGCAATGACACTTTCCCGCCAAAAAATTCCTAAGGTACCCCTTCCCTCTCCGTGTCCTTGATATTGCTGTCAGTGTCAAGTTAGAATAAAAGCTCAGGCGTGATCTCGACTGTAAATATTTCTTTGTTTACCTCTCTTTCAGCTACATGGCAAAAGGTTAATGTTGCGCCAGTGTGTTTTGGAGCCAAAGATAATCAATTCGGCAGGTTTCACGTTCCACCTGGAAGGCTAGCCGCTATAAAATTGGTTCATCTATACGGTTACGTGTCCTGTTACACTCCAGGTAATCTATGGTGGTCCTACTGGGGTTGTGGCGAGAATCCACGGAGCGGGTTAAAAAATCAAGTTAACGTTGTCATAACAACCTCAGCCAATCAGGATATACTACCGCCAAGCGAGTTCCTCGGTGATAAAAAAGTATTGAAGAAATTAAAGTGGCACAAGATCCCGGGATTTAACTCCCTCTCGCCGGAGCTTGTTCTGTCTGTTATGTCGACTCCTTACTGGATAGCGGACAACCACGAATTACGCGTGTGGTACGGTGAAGACTTGATGAATTCAAGCGAAGAAGACAACGGAGGAACAGTGTGCGCTGATGTCTATGCTCTTTTTGTGTGACTGAAGAGATGCAATTGTTGTCTCTTTCCTGAGGACTTGACATGAGTAATGGCCGAATAAAGGAATATTTTAGCATACCTTAAATTTCACTTGGCAGAATCAGCCAGGGAGGTTCTGGTAATTCCCCCTAGAAAACTTCATGGTAATGAAAAATGTCTGCAAAACATTCTTCATGAAGCTGTTTCTACAAAAGATCTGTATGCGTGCATCATTTACCCTCTTCCTTTTAACTCTCGTGGTCTGTCTATTGAATAGTGGAAAACAATTTTCCATCTATCTACTTGTAGATCCCAGAATTGATCTAGGTCAAATGCTCCTCACGCCACTTAAATGCTTATTTTGAACGGTTTGCTTCTATCAATGATCACGAAAATTGGACTACTAATGAAACTTTTAAAAGCGCCTCAGCAATATGATACCCTTTTTGAAGTTCAAATTTTCGTCACGTGATTTATAATTGCTAATTAAGGGTCAAAGTATTTACTCTAAAATGGGGAAATGATAATGAAAGCGGGGCGAGCAACAAGTTCTGTTAGGTATTTTTTTAGAGGCTATAAACCCTCGGATGTACACGGGGGGAGGGGGGGTGGGGGGTTGGTTGCGACCCTCACTTAGGTTTTCTGCTTTTTTCCTGGACGATAAATCATCAGCACATGAAGTTTACTATAGCTGTTCGTTTATCCTTCGCGTAAGTTTTGTGATGGTCAGTTACTATGGTTACGAGAAATGACGTCATAAGTAGCAGGTAGTCAAGCCATTTTTGAGTAAAAGTGCATGTTTTTTCAACTTTTTATACCAAAAAAAGTAAAACTAGGGTACAAAATCCGAGATGGCGACCATGTTTGGTGACGTCACAGACCTGCAGCAACGCCACTATTCATAAAATATACCCCGTCTTGTAGAGTAGATCAAAGGCTTTCCATTGAAGGCAAAATCGTTTAAAAATATTGCAACAGTCAAAAACCCAGGAGGGGGGGGGGTTCCATTCATCCCCCCCTTGTACCACTGTGGGGTATGACTTTGCGTGTACGTCCAAGGGTTAAAAAGGTTCTGAAAAATTCGCCTTGTATGAGTGTTTACGTCATATAGGAATAGGTGAATAACGGAAAAAGGGTCACATTTCCAATCATACCAGGCGAATTAACGATTTACACTGATGGATGTGACATTTTGGTGGTGAAAATTCCTAAGATTAAGGTTTGCAACAATTCCCCGTTTAGGAGAACCTGTTTTGTGACGTCATTGACGAAGCAATGTTACGTGTTATTTGAAATCGCTTTTCGTTTTTTTTTTCTCATTGAGCTACATTTGCAGTTCACTTTTCAGGATCACTAATGGAAGCAAACAGGTCAAATAAGCAATTTACAAAATATGATTATTTAATTAGGTGTAGTCATGCTTTAAGTGGCCTGAGTCACAACGCTCGTCAAACCACGAGCGGAAGGAAAGTTTATTTTTTCACTTCAAACTTTTAAAATTTTCACATCATTATTCTCGGGTGATCACATGAGTTAACAATCAACAGCTTGATGCTCGACTGACACTCTCAGTCAAATTATATTCTAACGAAACACTTGTATCCCCAGACAATATTGCAAACCAATGACCAATGTGAACGAATATTTTACCAAAATTTGCCCGACTTTTGCTAAAACAATCCAGGCTGCCATGATTGTGAACTACTGTGTGTTTATCCAAAGAGCAGTGGGCAGCCTTCAGAAATGCAGTCTACTTTATATCACTTGACACCTCGGGCTAGTAATTGGCAGAAATCAGAACTGGTTCTATGAGAGTAACAAAGGTACTCTGTCCGAAAAACATTAACTGTTCCGAGCACTTCAGAATGACTCCACGTCAAAAGCAAGGAAAGTTCCTTCGCAAACTCTAAACAAAAGGTGCAGAAGAAACTCCGTTTGATGCAGGACGCGTGGTACGGCAAGAAGGGCAATGAAATCCAGAGCTACGCAGACATCCATTACAGCAAGCGCTTCACGATGCCTTGAAGACTGTTTAGTAAAGACCACAGCAACTGGCTTCTCCCGCCCTCCTCGGTACAGATGGGACTCAACTGCTGACTGGGAAGAAGAAGATCTTGGAGAAACGGGTTGAATAAATTGATCAGGTCCTTAACCGCCCTGCTCAAATCAGTGATGATACCATTGCCCGCCTACCTCAAGTGGAGTTCAATCAGCGTCTTGAAAAGCTGCCCACCTATAGAAGTCCAAAAGGCCATCAAACAACTCTCACCTGGCAAAGTGCCAGGACCAGACGCAATCCCCGCTAAAGTGTACAAAGCAGATGTCGCAGCCATGATGCAGAAAGTGATAGAGGTATTCCAGTCTATTTGGAATGAAGGAAAGGTTCCACAACAGCTCAAAGATACCAGCATAGCCCGTATCTACAACGGAAAAAGGAAACTGCCAGTCTTTTACTGGCAAAATCTTGGCCCTCATTCTGCTGAACCGCGTCATTCAACATTTTGAGCAGGGACTCCTCCCAGAAAACCAGTGTGGTTTCCGCTCAGAATGTGGAACTGCCGACATGATATTCGCTGCACGCCAGTTCCAGGAAAAATGCCAAAGGCAGAATAGCCACCATTTAATTTTGTGACCTTCGTTGATCTGACCAAAGCCTTCGATACGGTGAGAAGAGACGGCTTGTGGAAAATAATGGAGAATTCTGGCTGTCTCAGCAACACCATAACGATCGTCCAACAGTTTCACGTTTGCATGATAGTTAAATTTCTGGATGACAGAGACGAGTCAGAAGCCTTTCTAATGACGAAGGGCGCGATTGTTCCGACGAAAGACCGAGGCTGTGAGAAATCTTACATATAAGAGCCGGTGTGTCTAACTAAGGAAGGTACTGGCGGTCTTGCCTTATGGCCAGTCTATGTCCTGACTTCCACCCGACAAGTTGGAGTCACGCCTGATGGATGTCATAAAGGTGAAAGACACCGTCATCAGAGACTTTTTGTTTGCTGCTGACTACATGAAATGGACTGCTTAATTCAAGGCTTTGACAACATCAGCCTTACCGACAGCACCAAAACTAAAGTCATGTATCAGACTGCACCTGGCCAAATGCAATTCCGATCCGATTAAAGTTCGTGTCCGAATAAAAGCAGTCGAGTCCGAGTTCTTATTCGGGTCCGATTGGAAGAAATGGGACCCGGTATCCCAGAAAACGACAAACATCCCGTAACCTTCGGAAGACTCCTTTAGAATGTCTGGGAGCAGAAAGGCACCAGCCTCCCAATTAAGCTGAAGAGTCTACCGTATATTAGTACTGAACACTCTCCTATGCGCCTGCGAGACCATTAGCTGCCTACGCAAACTTCTCCACATCAGTTGGAAGGACAGAAGTCCTGACACGGAGGTCTTAGAAAGGGCCGCAATCCTCAGCGTTCACATCCTCCTACAGAAATCCCAGGTTAGATGGATAGACCATGTCACCAGCATGCCTTGCAGCCGACATGACTACTAAAGCAGCTTCTGTATAGAGAGCGTTTTCAGGGCAGGTGCTTGGTTAGAGGGCAGAGAAAAAGTTTCCAAAACTGCCTTGATCTGGACGTTCGACCTCAGTACTTGGGAGTCACTTGCCCAGCACCGTCCAACTTGGCATAGCAAAGTCACCAAAGGGGCCCGTGCAGGCAAAAAACTGAGCGACCGCAGAAGAAACTCGCCTTGCGCAAAGCTAGAGCAATGTCCACCTCCACTGCGGCACCCACATACTCAAGTCTCATGCAGTGTGGCCGAGCCGTCCTGGGTCATATTGCTATTGCTATTGGCCATCTTTGGACCATCCCCGCTAGTCTAAAGTCTGACGTTATAGCCATCTTCGACTTTCGAAAGACAAACAACAACAACAATCTTAAGGTCAGATCGTTCAAATCCTAAAAGCTTATCAGCCTTGTTCTCATCCGAAGTATTTCAAATCCATTGGAATAGATTATATTTTTGCAAAACCGTTTAGATAAGTCGCCCTAGTGATTTTCTGGTGTATGAAAGATAGAAGCTAAATGTACAACAGGCTCCTGCCTGCACAAGAATATGGAACTACGATCGATTTATATATAAGGAGTATCTGTGATCTACAACATTCAAGAAAATAGTCTATGCTGACAATAAATGAATTCAATACTTTCAACTGATCACCAGTTTGGTTTAATTTGCGTTTGTTTTGTTGAACTTCACAAAATATCGAGCTGTTTTCCTAGATCCTAAAACCCAAGATTTTGATACCGTGGATAACGACATTTTACACATACAGTTACTGTGCTTTAACTGTCTCTATTTAACAAATCGTAAGCTTGGTTTACCAAAGCGTCATGTGGCCCGTGAGACGTATTTGTATGACAGTGAAATATGCCCACATTACATCGGTTTCAATTAATTTACATTGGTTGCCTGTTAAGATAAAAAGCATCTGAATTTTATGATTTTACTGCTTTCTTATAAGGCAGCACATGGCTTAACTAGACCTCCTCCAGGTTCACGACCCAGTGAAGAGTTCGCGATGGGCCTCAAGGAACCTGTTGGTTATTCTACAAAATGAATTGGAGAGCTGTTGACGACGTTCGATCGTAGCGGCCTACGGCCCCCTGTTACTTCCTTTCCCCCCTCCCTCCCCCGCATGCTTTGGAACTCTCTACCTGATCTTTAGCCTGCGACTAGGCTCTCTGGGGCTTTGAGTCGAAGAGAAAAAGGGGAGTTTTTCTAAGCTGTCACTCCCTCGCAGGCTATCGGATCATGACAAGAAAAGTCGATAGTCACTGGTAAAACTCTTGAAAAAGGCTCTTTTTTAAGAAAGCTTTTTATGGTGACTTTCTTTAAAAACGACTAAAACACAGACATACGACAAAATAAAAATAAAAATATGAATAAAAGCGATGGTGACTTACTAACGTATGGCCATGTATGTCTTCGTGAAATAAACTCACGCTTACATAAATCGTGCTTGGTACTAATCCTGGACTAAATAAGGACACAACTTAGGATATTTTACTTGTACATCCGAGCCATCACTCAAAGGCCTTGCCGTTTGCAGAGCAATTGAACTACCATCATTTCTCAGTTTTTTTAAGACCCTGGGTATTGATACGCCCTGGAAAACGAACCCGCGACCGTCCGATCTCGCTCTGCAGTCATGCGCTCTACTGACTTCATGAGCTACTCCTGCAGTAGTCATACAATGATCTGATTTGATAGTTCATAACTGAAACCTGAAAATCCTGACCTCAAAAATCCATCAAATAATACTTAGTCGCATGCATATTCGTAAGTATTTGCTTGTTACAGAAGTTTGATAAAAAAACATGCGAAAGGCAAGTTGACAGTTTGGACCCCCTGGAACTATCCCTGAGAAGGCTCTTTGAATTTTCTTCCCACCGGTCCTAGATTGGTGGTACGATTCACGTCGCTTACGCAGCGATGAAGCTGACTCTGGCGTTCGTTTTCGCTTTTTCTCTAGAGGGCGTGTTGACCATGTTGGCCCAGTCAGACTCTGATAAATAAATGGCAATTTCGTACTGCAAAACTCGTCAAAAGTGCAAATTATGCTAGCAACGATGTTTTTTCGGAAAATAGGTGAAAATTTAAATGCCCCAAAAAAATTTTGCCCAAAAGTTATGCTAGCACCATCTATCAAAGCCTATAGACAATGCAGGCACCGTATGCGTTGATATCTACCCTCTCTTTGTGTAAAAAGAGACCTCAAGAGATGCAATTAAGCTACCTTTACCATGAAACTGAAAATTGTAGGGGAATGAAAGAATATTTTTCAACACCGTAAATTTACTTGTGTAAATTTACATTACTCGAACTCCTTTTAAATTTTCATTAAAACAAAGACAACCACCCCATAACCCATAAACTATGAAACAAAATAATAAACATAAGATTTCTTTTTATTTATTTCAATGACAGAGAGTTCCTATTAAAGGCAATTTAACTCCAGGGTTCCCGTTTCGAAGCACAGCCATTATCCCCATTCCAGAACATATAGGTGGAGTGGGTACTAGCTTTCGGCGCAACGATTTCTGGGATCGTTTGGTTGAACAAGCTCCACTTGTGGCTCTTTGATGGTAGCCTTGAATAGCATCGACCAATCACGACTACCACTTGTCCACCCAAAGGATCTCCGACAGTTAAATCTATGCGCCATTGAATTGGGGAATTACTCATTCTCTGTTGTTATATTCCTAGACTTTCACTCAACTAAACAGGGACTGCCATTGGTTGATTCTTGGTCACGTGGCGTTAACTAAAATCAAATGTATCCCGATCGTGATACATTAAACAATGTACCCCGCTCGGGATACATTGCAGCACGTGATCAAAGCATGGTGGAAAGTGGCGTGACAGAAGGCGCGAAAAACACTGCCAGGTCCTGCCAGTTTCCTTTTTCGTGAATGAACACAACAACACAATCACGAAGCCCCAAGCTAAAAAGCAATGATTTTTAAAGTTATCCCAGAAGTTCCCAGAAGAAAAACAACAGCTAGTGGAGGAAAAAGATGCAGGTAATATAAGGAAAGGACTTTAGTTTGTAAATCATTCATTCAGTGGTTGTGAGAATTAAATTTGTGTTGTTATAACTACCGAGTCGACTGTTTTGGTTCGCTCTGGTTATTCTTTTGTTGCTGTTGAGGTGAAAGTCTAGAAATATAACAAAACACTTAATGTCAGGTCCCTCGGGAAACCAGTTAGTTTTTTTTGCCGAGAGTCCTGATGTTTCCCGAGACGAAGTCGAGGGAAACATCAGGACTCGAGGGAAAACAAAACTAACTGTTTCCCTTGGGATCTGACATTAAGTGTATAATAATGGCGTTTATGTGGTGACCGAAAAGTCGAGGCATTGTATCGTTAGTTTTACTTGTTTATTAATTTTTATTGGCTGTTTAACTTGTCCGATAACAACCTTCTTACGAGCGGACATGCAGGTCAAATTGGACAGTTATTCGGGTGTTACAACAGTTAAATTGACCACTAAAAATAAGGGCAGTTAAGAAGCAATGGGCACAATCAGTTTGGTGCATTTTAGGGTGCGTGTGACGTTGTTGACGAACCATTGACCCGATTAGTACCTACTTATCGGCTCCTGAATGTAGTCAAAGGCATTAGCTTTCTTTGAATGTCACAATAGGATTGGCGTAATTGAAGCTAACCAACTTCTGCAAATTTCGCCGTACATCACCCCCTTGCATATTCGGTCCCTCTTGTCAAGATAATACTCACAGTATCTCGAAAACTCTTGATAAAATGTCACTAAATTTACCATTTTCGCCACTTCCTCAGTGCTACCTGCAATTCTGGACATATTGCAAACTTGTTGACGTCCGCATCAAAAAGAGCTGTCACAGGCGTCTATGAATTCCGATCTACCAGTTGCTATTCGATCGTACACGATTCGCATCTTCAATACAGCGATGAAGTTGGCTTTAGTCTTCGTGTTTGACCTTTCTTTTGGCGTTTTCACACTTTTGGGCGAGAAAATCCCTCAACAGGTAGAAGACAGCGTTGAAGAAGGATCTGCAGTGAAGAATGATAAAGCCAAGATAAATTGCTGCCGTTTTGGTTCACAAAACAGCGTGAAGAGAGAAGCCGGCTCAGGTTGGTTGAATTGTGTCTTACGATAGTCAGATAGTAAAATGATCACAAAAGTCTATCGACCGCGCGTGAAGAAACTCTTTTACTCTTTTTGCTCGGCTTAGTCTACTTCAAGCATTTCTTTGATTTATTCCAGCCGTAAAAGAAGAGTGAGCAAAACACGGGGCGGAAGGAGTAGTCTTTAAAAGGGAGGTTCTGAGCCTGGTGGATCAGGGTAGATCTTGTGCATCTACCGTTTCGGTGATGTCATAGATAAAAATAGGTTAAAAGAATAGCCTGTGTTTCCATACCCGGGCTTACCCAAACCGTAAGTAATCCGTTAATTTCCAGCATAATTATTTATTTTGTTGGGTAATGAATAGACAGATTGATTAACGCAGAATAGAGTTACATTCTACAGGTTAATTAATGGTAATGTGTATCATGAAGTGGTATTCTCTGCTCATTACCTATCATCGTAAAGCTAGCCTTAAACGCAAAGTGCTTTCTCTTGTTTTAAGCCAGCGTTACACAATGGTCAGCGGTCAGCGTTTTTTATGAGCCTGCAGTCAGCGGTTTGGTTGCGTGGAGTTGCGTGAGATCGATCTTGAAGGTGGAGTCACGTGATCAGGTGGCGTGGGAATCGCGCTTGGTTGCGTGATAGGGGTTGGAATTTCTTCGGAAAAGGCTGGACCTCTTCGGAAAGGGTCTGAAATGGTCGGGACAAAGTTGCTATGACTATAAACGTGGTTGACTGACTCATGTATCATTAATTAGCATAGGATGATTAGTAGGTCGTTACTCATTATGTAGTTTTTTTGGTCTTATTTTAGTCAACTCTTGTCAAATTGCCCACATGTGGGAGTAGAATTTCTGTCCCCTCATACGGACACTCACGAGAGCACGCATGCACATTACAACAGGACGTTAAACACTTGTCATCACACATGTGGGACTAAAATTTTTCTTTTAACTTATGCGAATAATTACTAAAGTACGCATGCGAACTTTGGTGGAAAGATATTTACCAGCATTTTATTAACAAAAGAAACCCAAGTCGTATTCATGTGGGAGTGAATTTTATGTCCCCTCATGCCCATTGAAACATCTTGTCAAAAAAGACGTACCCAAAACGTGTTTGTACGAAGAGGCTAACCTGTAGTAGTAACATCGGATAGTACGTATGTGCATTTTAACGTCAAAACACGTACCAAAGACGTTTTCTTACAAAGTCGCCAGCGTGTGTGGTTGAGCATGTATTGTCAACCTTCACCTGCATTTGAGAGATAAGCAATTGTCACATCAACCTCAGGGTCTACAAAAACCACACCCACACCCGACATTCACTGCGCACTCAACTAAATACAATGTACTGATCATGATCTACTCACAGAACTCAAAAGTACTCTCTGTTTACTCAATGTAGCTCGGAGCTGCTCTTTAATAACTCAGAGTTGCTCTGCGTTAGCTTCAAAGGGGCTCTCAAACTACTCTGGCTCTGAGTATAATTAATCAGTTGATGGATGTCTCGCCCGGAAAGCTCTATTGACTCACAGCAACGTTGCTCATTGGTTGCCCAAAATTGCCCTCACCATTGAACAGATGACAAAGAATTATTCCAACAAATTTTTGTACAAAATAATTGATCATCATTTCTCAACTTTAAATTTCCCAACTTTATTAAGCGCAATATTACAACTGAGTATGGAAATTCGCTTCTGATTTTTAGTAACATATGAAGTCGGTCATTGCAGATCTTATTTCAAAATGTTTCAACTGATCAAGTGTTCAAACTTGCGCAAAACTTTCTCTTTGGTGCCTCATATGTTAAGTTGTCGTCTTCAGTCGATGTGTCTTTGGGAATATCTTTCAGGTCAAACAGACTGTCCAAAAGGTATTTTCGCTTACTGACGGCAGCTTCCACAGCCTCCGTATATTCCATTTCATTTTCTTCCATTAAGCTACGTAATGTTCTCATAACATTTTTGTGTACCTTAGGTTATGTAAATATAAGTGTCGTAGCTTTTTGCGTTAAACAGGAAGGAGAAGGTTACAAGCTTGAGAATAATTTGGAATAAATCTCACTCATCTGTACAATGCTGCGGGCAATTTTGGGCGACCAACGAGCAACACTGTACGGATGAATGAGAATTATTCCAACAAATTTTGTTCAAGGGTCACTTGCATCGGTCCCAAGGGAATTGAGGTTCCACTGTATTTCAAAGGGCCTTTGCTTAAAATTTTTTGAACAGACGCACCTTATGGCTGCAGAATTTAATTCCAACGCTAAATAAAACTCATAAGGAGACATCTTGTTAGTGGGTTTATGAGTGGTACCACTTCTTAAAGGGAGGTATATCTTTTAAAAATGGTATATAAAAGGGTAAGAAGTTGGATCCTTAGACAGCTCCTCTTTGGTAAAACTTTACTAAGTAGTTCCCTGGGGGAGTAGCCTCCGAAAATTACCTTCACCCTCTCGCGAAACGCAACTTGGGTTTGGAAGAATGCTCTCAACTGAGACAGCTGTCGCACTTCTCGCTGATGAGAGTCTCATGAGTGCGAAAAGGGCCTAGTCGTGGGTTCCATGTTCATCGACCTGACTAAGGCTTTTGACACAGTTAACCACGACATTTATATTAGTAATAAATTAAATTATTATTACGTATGCCATGAAAGCCTTCCAAAGCTTAAGGACTATTTCTCGGAAAGAAAACAGCTGATGTGCATCGATTCTCAGTCCTTTGAAGAGCTTGCCATTACTTCTAAAATGCCTCAGGGGTCCATCCTTGGACTCCTATTGTTTATTATTGTCAATTCAGTGTACTGAATGGTTTAAGGAACATAATTTCCTGTTTGCATAAGCGGTGAATATTTCTTTTCTCTATTTTCTTTCAGTGCGCTGGCGCAAGCTGAATTCGTCACCAGTTTGTTTTGGGGCCAAAAACAACCACTTCGGAAGATTCTACGTTCCAGTGAGTAGATTGGCTGCCATTAAGCTCGTTCATCTGTATGGATACGTGTCCTGTGATACACGTCACACCTCTAATTGGTCTTACTGGGGCTGCGGTGACAAGATGCAGGCTCAAGTCAGCGTTACCATAACAACCACTGCCAATCGGATTCTTCTGCCACCGAAACAATTCCTCACGATTCCTTCCTTAGAGTGGTACAAGATTCCCGGATATAACTCTGTCTCCCCAGAGCTGATCTTGTCAGTTCTGTCGACTCCCAATTGGATATCTTCAGAGCAGGAATTACTCTTGTGGTACGGTGAGGACTTGGTGAATTTTAGCGAAGAAGACAATGGAGGAACAGTATGTGTTAATGTGTATGCTCTCTTTGTTTGAAAGGAAGCAGTTATTTCCCGGCGTTGTTCGACTGGATGGAAAAAATGTCATGAAGAAAAGGAAAATTAAGGAATGAAAATGTGAAACGTGCAACCATCGAGCTATGGACGCTTCTTGATTATTGAAAAGTATAATATGCAAAGGAAGCATTCTTACAAATTAGGATTACCTCCCTCCCCATGTCCTGTTACCATTTAAACTGATATCGATCATTGCTTGATTTTTTCTTACTCCCAGGGTCAATAAAACATGTAGTTCTAACATTTACGTTAATGTATGAAATCCTATGGTGTGTGTATTGAAATAAGTGAATTTGTTTTTAAAAGAAAAAAAAAGTTTATGCTTAATGTGTCTGATCAACGTTGGCGAACGCAAGGCATTTAGCCTCTCTGTTCACTGCGACTATAAAGTTAGAAAACATTTTTCCCTCCTCATCCTTCCGTTTTGTTCCACTTTACTCTTCCGGATGGCAGGTGTACACTCACCTTTGCTGGGATAATCTTCTTGTCGATCTGGATTTTCATAGCTTTACACATGCTTTGATCAAATAAACGGCCCTTCGGTGGCCAAATTCATTCCAAAGTAGATTTGTAATTATTTGGTATACCAGCAAACAGAACTCACCCAAAGCCGGACTCCGATAATATCAATATTTTCGGTGTCTAATCCGCTAATTAGGCGAGGGAAATTATCAGAATTTGGACAAAACACAAGTGAAATTTTCCCCTAATTTTACTCGTTTACCATTTAATTACCTATTGATAACACGGATGACAAATTGGGTTCACAGTCGTGGTTTTAATTTTTTTAGCTTGTTTATCGTATCGAGAACTCCACGCACTGCGGAAAACATGAAAATTTGGGCTTAAGTTCACACGTTCCTGAATTTTGCGACTAAGGGTATAGAGCGACTGTACTCTTCCTCAACCCGTGAAACAGGATGTAACACAACAAGGTGCCAAATAGATACAAGTCAGCAAGAAAAATTGACAATGAAATTAGTATAGAGTGCCCTAGTACTCCGTATTTGGCTACCATCTATTTCGGTCACTCATTGGTGATGTGCAAGGCAAGGTTAGGCATGCATTGTTTAGTCAGAAATGCGAGAGAAGAAGAACAAGAAGAAGAATAAGAAGAAGGAGAAGAATAAGAAGAAGAAGAAGAAGAAGGAGATACTTTTATTTAGCTAGGGTAACTCCTACGGTTACAAAAACTGATATCCTTAAAGACCCCATATAAAAAAGAAATATAAAAATTTGTTAAAAATACTTATTATTCATTCAAAATATTTTCCCGATTCTGATTGGCTAAAAACACACTTTTAGTTCACCATAACCAGTTACTGATGACCAAATTTGGAAGAGTTTTGTGTTTAACGAGGAAATGACGTAAAAAATGCAGTGTTTTCGCAGGTGAAGGCACCGTTAACCGAGAAGACCTGGGGACGAGGTTGAGTTGTTTTGCTTGTGAACTTGAAATATGGCGGACATTTCACTCGTTTCAAGAGTAAGAACTAGGCGAAAAAATAGCTAAAAACAAGGCAAGAACAGCAAGAAGACAACTCGAAGGGCGACATCTGCTATTTGGAGAATATTTGCGGAGCTGCACAAACCTAAACGTGCACTATCGAAGATGATGAAGATGGATCGATGGAGGTAAGCATGTTTTAGCCATGTTTTTAATCTAGGAATTATTTTGAATGAATAATAAAACAATTATTGAATTCGGCTTTCGTATCATATTATGATCTCGGAGGGTGTTATCCGCCTCGGCCTACGGTCTCGGCGGATAACACCCTCCTCGATCTCCATAATTCTTCATAAGTTACTCAGCCTCATTCATTAATTGTTAATTAAAACTAGTGCTGACTAAGCTAATAGAAAAATATCCTAAAAAGAGGATAAAAATTATTACAAACCATTAATAAAAACTACAAATTAGGATTAAATACTTCACATCCATGATAGTAAAGGTAACTGCTTCATCAGTCCCGCCAGGAGACCAAAATAACATCATACTAACCGTTTTCCATATTGAGCCTCCATCAGTTAACTTATGTCAAGGATCGATCTTGTTAGCAAAAATTTTCTAGCAAATTGTTTCCGCAATTCATCAGTTTGCTTACCACTGTTTCTTTGAATTTAAAATTGGCTGTGTGTCATTCATATTTGAAAGGATTTATCGATTATTTAATGCCACTCCCTTAAGCCCAAAACGAAAGCGATGGAAATATCTGATACAACAACAACAACAAGCTTTATTTGCAGGACCATACAAGTACATACAGTATTGCAAAAGCTATTTATAATCATTTTTAAGAATAAGAACTAAAATTTAATCACTGGCCAATTAAACTACTTCGTTAATAATTCCTCGCGAAAGTCAAAGCAAGATAAAATATATTTCCTGAATTGTAAATTGATATGGTAATTATAGATGTGTTCATCAGTTCATTGATCAAAACGTTCATAGGTAACTTGTTAATATTTGGAATCAGAATCTTATCTTAATTGTAAAAATTATTTCTAATCAAAGCCCATGAGTATTTAGAACAATTAAAAGGAAAGAGAATTTTGTCTTCTATTTGACTGGATCAACAAAAAGGGCAGTTCCAATTATCTCTGTTAGTTTGATTGTATCTACCAAGTTCTATCATTAGTTTGTGGTTACTTTTTCGCAGTTTTACTAATTTCTTTCTCTCAGCCGTTCTTCTCGTTACGGCTAAGTAATTAAAAGTGGTATGATCGCCTTTAAAAGATCTGAAAAATTCTAGTTTTGCGAGTGGTGAAGGGTGTTTTGCCAATATGGTATACATTCTTATTTTAAACGTACGAAGTTTTTTACTATAAAGGTATCGAACAAATCAATGTTGAAGTCAGGTAGGTTGAAATACTCTGACATCTCCATCAAAGGAGAGCGAAAGCTGCTCTTACCATTTCAGTATAAATCAAATGGCTTTAAAAAAGGTTGCTCGACGAAATATGACTTAATATATACAATGTACTTAAGGATTTTTTGATTGATAGTGATATTTACAGGTAAGCGACCAAGTTCAGTTTTACAAGCAAAATTAGAAGCCTTGTTGCTTACCTCTGAAAAAACGTTTGCAAAATTGGAGGTGTGTCTTTTCGATTTGTGAGCTGTCCCAAGGTCTTAAAATCTGGTTTGGTATACATGCCCCAAATTTCACTATTATATGTCAGAATAGGGGAGATTATCGTATCAAATATTTTACAAGCAAGAGATGTTCTTAGTTTGCTGAGATTCGTATGTCGTCTCGTGCTAAATGACACAGAAATTTCCTGAAGAGGAGATTCGAGTTCCTAAATAAGTGTATTCTTGTACAACATCAATAATTTGACCATCTATGGGAAAGCGAAGTTCAACATTTTTCCTAGCACGTTTCTGAAAGACCATGATCTTAGTTTTCTTGAGGTTGATTTTACATCATCCACGAAGAACAGTGGGAAGACAGCTTATCAATGAAGGCAATTTTGTAATCTTGTTTAAGAAAATTTAATTTTGCACCGTTTGGCAAAGCAAAAGGATCAGATAACGTATTTTCAAATGCGGAAGGCAGGTCGTTTATATAAAGATTAAAAGGCAGTGGACTTAATATACAGCCTTGCCGCACACCTCTTGCATAACGGAAGGGTCGTGTTTGCTTTTGGGAAATTTTGATTGCGCTTGTAGAGTTGAGATATTTAACAATTAATGAATTCGGCGGATAGCACCCTCCGAGATCTCGATAATTCTTCATATGATACAAAAACCGAAGGTGATAATTGTTTTATTATATTATTCATTCAGAATAATTCCAAGTTTAAAAACATAGCTAAAACAAGCTTACTTCCATCGTTGTTAAGTTCATCTTCGATAGCGCACGTTTAAGGTTGTTCAGCTCCACTAACGTTCTCCAAATAGCAGATGTCGCCTTTCGAGTTGTCCTCTTGTTGTTCTTGCCATGTTTTTAGCTATTATTTCGCCTAGTTCTTACTCTTGAAACGAATGAAATGTCGGACAGTTTTTTTTTCACAACTAAAACAACTCAGCCTCGTCCCCAGGTCTTCTTGGTTAACGGTGCATTAAACTGCAAGAATGCTGCACTTTTAACGTCATCGGTTGATTAATCGCAAAATTCTTCCAAATTTGAATCATCAGTAGCTGGTTATGGTGAACTATGCGTGTGCTTTTAGCCAATCAGAATCAGGGAGATATTTTGAATGAATAATAAATTAAGGCTTTTAATCAAGTTGTGAAAACACCCACTAACAGTAATTTGCAGTAACTTATGCAGGAGCCCGACATAACAGATCGAGTCAAAAGCCTTTTTTGAAACCCACAAAGCAAGCATACATCTTTTCCTTATGATTATGAACGTACTTAGCTATGAAGGTTCGGGGTGCAAATACGTGTTCTGCTGTGCGGTTATTTGCAAAAGCCAATTTGAGGTTTGTGAAGGTGCACCTGCACCTGCACCTGACATTGCAACCTCTCCCTCCACTTTATTTTGTTTTCAGCTTCCCTTACGGCATGGCAAAACTTCAACCCTGTCCACTCAGCGATGTTGTTTTCCCAACGCTTCTTTTGTCGGCCCCTTCTTCTCCCTCATTGCACTGTTCCTTGTAAAATCTTCTTGGCAAGCCCTGATGATCTTGATACATGCCCAAACCACTCCAACTTGCGTTTCTTTACCGTGGTTAAGATATCATTATAGGGTCCAATGGCTTGCCTGATTCTGTCTCTGATTGCATCGTTAGTGATGTGATCTCTGTATTAGATGCCAAGCAGTTTCCGAAAGCATCTCATCTCAGTGGCCTGCAATTTCTTCAGGATGTCCGCTGCCAATGTCCAGGTTTCGCAGGCATACAATAGTACAGAGATAACTAGGGAGCGCATTAGTCTGATCTTTGAGCTTAGAGAGATGCGCTTATCACTCCAGATGGTCTTCAGCCTCGCTAGTGCTGCTGTTGTCTGTGCAATTCTGGACAGTACTTCGG